GAGACAGAGGAGGAGGAGGGTGAGGACGTCTCTGCAGCCCGGGGCGGGGGCCGAGTAAACGTCCCACAGATAAACCAGACCAGACTTCAGGGTCTGTGTGGGAGACCGTGGTCCAGACCTGCAGGATAGAACAGGAACTAGTATTAAAAACCTAAAACATCTTGGACTTCACCTGCCAACAACGCCACCTCCTGGAGGGGGCGCGTAAAGACAAGTCCTACGTCAAAGACATCACACGTTACTTAACGAGGAAAGGTGAAATTCAAGTAAATCAATCATAAGTGAATCAAGTAAAAAAAGAGAAAATTTCTGAGAAAAATTAAATTGAAGAACGTTGAAAAATTATGAAAATAATACCGAATTACATTTTAGGAAAAAATATATTTCTTACAAAAAACGTAATATGAAAAAAGTTTTAGGTTTAAAAGACTAAATAAAAATCTCTGATATGAGGAAAAAAATGTTTTACTTTTAAAAGAATAATCACAAACTCAGTCTCTAAAAGAGAAAACATTTTTCCTTTGATTTCCTGCAGCTGTGAATGTTCTGACTGGGGGGGGGGTCTGTGGGGGAGGGGCTTTTTTTTCCCAAACACTGCAGCTGCTGCTCTTTCTGTTTGGAGTGTTTTATGAACTGACCATTGGTGTGAATGTGAGTGTGAATAGTTGTTAGATATATAGCGTGACAGGCTGGTGACCCCTGCCCTCGTCTGATATAACTGCTGCAGGGGCTACAGTCCACTCAAACACCCCCGCATCCACCCACCCTCACAGTGGAAATGAATGATTTTCTCTCACCTCTGAAGACATTTTAGATTTTAGAACTTTAATAAATCCTGGGCGACTAAAAGTTTTTGTTTTGTTGTTGTTTTTTAGGTTGATGGTTTTTGTGCTACTGATAGAAGAGAAGAGAAGGTCGAAGGATCCAGATCAGATCAGATCAGATCAGATCAGGGAACTGATGTTTGACCTGGAACTGTGGAAGAAACTGTTGACTTTTGACTCAGAGAAAAGTTAAAAACGAACTCCTGTTTAACTCAGTCTGGTTCAGTCATCAACAGACCGTTACTCTTTAAACTTTGAATTTTAATTAATGGTTGACGCCAGCGACCTCCAGTGTTGGTTTGGTTGAACATTGTTTTAGTTTATATACCCATGTGTCCCTGGACGAAACATGTGGCTGTGCAGTCAACGCTGAGGTCAAAAGTTCAAAAGCCGCCGACATTAAAGCGATAATTAATTATTGAAATGAATCGGATTTGAATATTTAACACGTTTGACTAATTCTTCAAACACGGTGGTAGCAGTTAGTGATAAAGTTCATGTTCATACCTGACAGAGCGGCTGCGAGTGTCGGCTCCAGACTTCATCCTGTGAGATTGAAGGACTGAGTGGCCGCGCTCGACCTCGGGGTCAGAAAGAGGAAGTGATCCGAGGAGTCACAGTCATGTTGATATTTGTCAAGAACCCACGTGAAACAAACACCGATTTTAACCATACTTGGAAGAAAAAATGTCAAGAACCCACGTGAAACAAACACCTATTTTAACCATACTTGGAAAAAAAAAGCTTGTGTGAAGAAGCGTGACACACAAACATAAACACGCACACACACACAACGTGACGCTGGTCAGACTGATGCAACATTCGACAAACCTGAAATTTTGTTTTAGCTACTTCCCTGTATGTAAAACACAGGAAAATATATACTAAATATATGCTAAATATATACAAAATATATGCTAAATATATACTAAATATATATTACATATATGCTAAATATATTCAAAATATATGCTAAATATATATTAAATATATGCTAAATATATATGGTATATGTGTAAAAATGGTTATGTATATTTATTTATACAAATATAATTTCTCTAATGAAGGAAAAAAATAATACAAGGTTAGTGGTTCTCAAAGTAGGGGTGGCAGCCCAATGAGATCGTGGCTTTATTGTAGGGGGACCCAAACTAGAAGAAATGCAGCCTTGGTTTGAAAGTCAGATTTATTTTATTGTTCCCTGAGGGACGGGGTGTGGTGGTTACCAAAGTAGGGGGCGGGCCCCGGCAGGTCCTAAGGATATGATATAAGGTCAAATATTCCAAATTAAATTTAAAGTGAAACAGAAGTGTTAACGACGACCAAATAAATATGTCGACATTTTAACAGTCGACGTCGAAACTTTATCACTGAGAGTTGTTTGTCTCTGTTTATGTGCAGAACATCGCCCCCTATCTTCAAGTGAGTCTAATTTCCAGAGTGAGCTTTTGGACTGAGAAACTGTTGTTGTTGATGTTGTTGTTGTGAAATAATTTTTACTTTATTTTTT